CGTCCCAGTCCATGATGGTATGCTAACTAGTCTAGGTTACTAGTATCAACACCAACAACAACACAAAGAGAATGATGCTGATGAAAGGTGGTTTGCCGCCCTTTTTCACTGAAAATCGGTTTCTACACGGGGAAAAAAATTCCGTCTAGAAAGCGAAATTGCTTAGTTCCGAAATCCGAAAGCCTTGGTGGCATCGCATGCTTGCGTGATGAGCCCTTCAAATCGTCTTGTACATACAGCCATCGACTTCTAAACGATTGATACTGTAGCATAGAATACCGTACTGTAGTCAGTAATGGACATGTTGTATTGCAATAATAAATTAAAAACATATAAGATTATCTCTGTTTGGACACTGTTGGAACATGAATGGTCAAAGAAAGGGAAAAGAGCGGCTGACTCCGTTTACACCGCGTTGCATGCAGTGGTCCCGTACCGTATCCAAACTAAGGTATAGATTGGGTGTTCGAAAGCTTGAGTCAGACTGTCACTCTTTAGATTAGAAAAGGTTAGACCATGGCTCTGGTGAGAGAAGTCCGGGGCGGCTTACATGGAGACCAAACGATGGGCCAATCCAAGGAATTGAATCCCAGGTTATTGCAATTCAATCATATGTGTGTGGTGCCGTGCTGCACGGTACTCGGAATTATGGCAGAAGCAGAATTAAGCTAGTTGGTTGGAACCGTACGGTACCAATGTATCCTACCGGTACCTGTAGCTATTAGACGAGTGCTAGCTAGCCCGCCAGTAGACCATAGTGTAGAATTGTACATGTAGATCCTGCATCTGCCTCCTCTCGTTGGATATCTCACTACACAAAGCTGATCGCGTGCTCCGTTTCCCTCCTCTTCTTCCTGTTGGCTTCACCCTGGGCACTTTCCTTTATGGGATTGGGCACCAGGGATATCACTGCAAACGCAGCGGATGCTTCGCTCAGCTTGCTACCAATCCAAAAAGCCGTCTACCTTTTGACCCCGATTGCATTAGCTCTCCCTGTTCACGATTCCCGCCGCAAGACGCCAAAAGTTGACAAATTTTTCCGGAGAGCCCTTTGCCCCCGATTACCGTACTACGTGTAGTAGCTCTCTCCGTTGACGATGCCCGACGAAGATGCCCAACCTTGAGAAACATCCGGAGTAGTGTCCCGAAAAGGATGTTCGTTTTTGTGTACTTGGGAATGAATCGGCCCACGCCTTTCTCACTCTCAAGCATGTATGAAGATGGCGTATCATTACTTAGCTCAGTCGCGCCTTATCCATCCGGATAAAGACTTCTTAGCAGAACGTTCGTGAAAGAAGCTTTCCGAACCACCACGTCGAGCTTCGGCAACCGGAACTCTCGTGGCAAGGTGGGGCTGCTCTGCCAAAGTAAGTGTTTAACACTCTTCACTTTTCGGGCCATGTGATTTTTGCAATCCGTGCTTTGACGTAGCCTCGTTCCTCTGCCGCGGTTAGCGGCAGTCGTCTTTGTAATCTTATGTTGTGTGGAATTGGAACAAGCAAGTGTCGCAGTCGCGAAGCGGGCATCATGCATTGAATGGAATTGCCTGTGGTAACATCGTGTTTCTTCAAAGCGTCCGACCCACAATCTCGCGTCACGGCAACTGAAGAATGCCATCAACTTCTCGGGATAGGACAATGCTTCGGACTGCTGCAGTTCCTTTATTCTGCCGCCCTTCTGACCTCTGGTGGTGGTTTCTCTGTAGGAAGAGTTTGCACTCTGGAGAAGGGAAAGAAGACTCGCGGAGAACATCGTGCCCTTGCCTTTTGGTCCCTGGGATACTGTAGAGTAGGTGCGTCGCTGTATGCTGGTACCAGGTAGCTAGCTAGCAAGACCTTCGAGACGGGTTCCAATTTCTAATCTATTCTCTATGGAAGGTTGTGGCTGGTGACGCAATCAGCGTCCGCGTTGTGATACCGTACTGAGAGATGGGCTGGCTGATTGTTGCTGTCTCTCTGTCTCTGTCTCTACTAGTGCACTGGATTGCCCTTCGTGCGGGCTATCTGCATTGCTGCTTTCATGGTTCTGGTTGCTCTTTCATGATCCAATTCACACCGCTGTGTTGGCGCGAGGCTATCTGCAGAGAATTGCGACGAGACAAGAAGGTCCCGCTCACAAAGCTATCCATCTTGGATGTCTCTCCATGAAAGTTGTATTTGTGCATCAAAAAGTCCACCCTCCCGAGGGCACCCCATTCTTTCATGAGCAACAGTGACTTTTCTACATGCAACTTGGCTTGCACGCGATCCAACTGCCAAAGGAAATCGGCAGCACTTTCGTGGGCTATGGCAGCAAACAGAGAGAACCCAGTCCTCGATGAAGTCACAATGGCTTGGTTGAAGGCTTGAGAAACAGCTCGTAAGTTCTTGGGAGGCTTTGTCGTTACGGACAGCAACTTGGCCTCCAACAACAGCTGGCAAGAAACAATGTTGATAAAGCCGGCCTTCTTCCACTGCGTCAGCTGTGCAAGTTCCTTTTTGGCAAGCCTCAGATAATATCGCTTCTTCTTTCTGGGGCCACTTATCACAAGATCAAAAAAGATCATGCCTCGAAAGAAGGGATAGAGCATAGCTGGCATCATTGGAAATTCACTCTCTCCCTGCAGCAACATCTCGGCAAAGTACCGACCACGCTCCAAATTCCCAAATAGATAGGCCGCCATCATGTAATACAGCAGGGTGAGCCTTCTAGGAGGTCCATGCTCAAGCTGCGCTTTCTCTTCGTGCTCGTCAAAGTCTGGAATTACAGCTCCTTCCAACGTGGCTTTATCTCTGCTGCGGGTTGATATTGTTGTCGCTGTCGGGCTTCCTTCAGGACAGTCTCTCGTCATGAGATTCTCAATGAGTTGACGAAGGCTCATCAGACCAATGTACTGAAGCATGCTCTGGTAATTGATCATTTCATGAGTAATCGCCTTGCAGTGCTCGGCCAAAAGGGAAAGCGGATGCGCTGCTAAAATGAATCGTATCAGCAAGGAACACGAGGCGCAAATGTGACCATGAAAGATCCTTCCCGATGCCATTCCAGATTGGTACCCACGCTTCATGACGTCAATCATTTCGGGAAGCGGTCGTCGGAGGTGCATCAAAAAGTACCCGTGCGCCACGGTCAGTTCTGCTACGGATTCCTGGAAATTCCAGCGATTCAAAATGTCCAATCCCAACCGCCCCACTTGGATGCCTCGTTCGACCGCCCCGATGCCCACCAAGACGGAACCCACGACCGAAAACGCCGCTGTGGACGCCGCCGTAGGACCCCATCGGAGACACAACTCGGCCAAGAGAACGATGGTGACGACAAAGGATGGCATCTGCTCGAGGTTGTGAAATGCAATGGACATGTGCGCCACAATGTCCGTCACCAGACCGTGGAATCTACTATCCGTTCGTGGGATTTCCACAATCTCGTCCAACGAAAGTTTTTGGAGCCGATGGTTCAACTTGGCAATGCACCAAAGCATTTTGAGCGGGCCGGTATGGAATCTAGGCGCCTTGATACCGGCCAACGTGAGGGCTTTTCGTGCCACTTTGCAAGATTCGGCATGATTGTTTTCGCGTTCGCAGGCTTTGATTTGCAAGCTGTACGCTTCGAGTTGGTCCTCCACGGACATCATGATGACCCTGTTGCCATGCGATGTCGACAACAGCAGTTCATCGAGGAGTGTCTTGCAGATTGTGGCATTTCCCGATGCCAGTTCCATTTCCGCGTGAAAGAGTTGTACCTCAATGATCAAACTTGTGTTTGCGTTGTTCGATTGTTCCCGATCCTCTTGTATAGATAACAACTCCATTGCAGTCCGTAAAAACTGGACGGCTGGAATGAATGCCGACTTGGTCTTGACCACACGAGCGGCTTGCATGTTCATGTGGACCAGTTCCATTATCTTGGAATGATTCTCATGTTGCTGCAAAAGGACCTTTCTTCCTAGATTCAATTGTTCGGTTCCCACCAACAAGTGCCATTCCACGGGCGTTGTTGCGTGATCATAGTATAGGTCTTTGAGAATGACTCCAAGCTGATAGTGATAGTATTCAACACCCTTGATGCCATTGCTGTCTGTGGAGATGAGCTGGTATGCTGCTTGTTGAATACGATCATGACTGAATCGATACAGATGACGGTCGACCTTCTCAATGAGTTGCTCTTTTGTGGCGCTGCGAATCGCCTTGGAAATAGTGCTGTTGTCATGATTATTGCTCGAATCATGATGTATGGCTCGCCGGACAATGTCTGTATCGAATCGATTCCCCAAACAGGCGCCAATGTGTAGAAAGTGTTGTGTGCCGGGGTCCAAACGCCGCATGTTTTGCATGACCAGCTCAACGACGTTGTCAGCCAAGTCCATTTCTGCTTGTAGCCTTTGACAATCCCATTGCCAACAACCGTGGTTGAGAAGGGACTTTGTGAGAATTCCCCGTTGCATCATGGCGTCGAGGAATTGCAAGACAAAGAATGGATTGCCGTGGGTTTTGTCATGCACGACGAGTGCGAGTTGTTGTTGTCGCGCTGGTCCGGAATCTTCTGGTTCCATTCGTAATCGTTCGCAGAGAAGGAGATTGACATCTTCTAGAGAGAGATTGGGGAGTTCCGGGATGCGGGTGTAGGCTTGGGGATCTAACTGAGCCAGAGCAACTTCCAGGGCATTATCCTTGTGGACTTCATTGGACCGATAACACCCCACAAGAAACAACTGATGTGGATGACTGGTTTGTGGTTGCTGTAGCACAAATGAAAGAACTTGGAGTGTTGCTTCATCGGCCCATTGAAGGTCATCCATTACCAACATGACAGATTGGTAGCTCGTTACCAAAAGCAGGAATGTTCGAATGGCAATCTTGAGGCCGGTAAAACTATTCTCATCCCCTCCTTCCCCCTGATGGTCGTCCAAGGTTTGCCGTTGCGTTTCTTGTGGATTGTGTTGTTCCCCCACCATCATGACATTCAACTGTGGTAGAAATCTGGAGAGAATCCTCACTGTTGCCCCCATTTCTTCTTGTTCCAATAATCGTGACATCATCAATGGCATCCACTCACACTCTTGTATTTGTTGACACAGCTCCTTCATGGCATCCACCAGGGCAGCATAAGGAGTGGACGTCCGGGTCAACTGATCCCATTTGCCTCTTGCTACCAACACATTGCCCTTACGACGCCGTTGTCGACAGAATTCAGCCACCAGAGCCGTCTTGCCACTCCCCGAGGACCCTCCAATCCATACGCTACCTCTGGCAGAACTCATATATGCCTCCTCTACTATCCCCAATTCTCGTTCTCGTCCCACAAGAATACTGGGAATACGCGGATGAGGCTGACTAATGCTGCTGCTGCCAATGGACGTATAGCTGCTCCCCAAGCTACCACCATCCGTGGTACCGGTAGAGGACATGGTCTCGACAGAGAGAGTCTTGGGAAGGGTTTTCGTTATCTCATATGCTGACTACCGCTACCGGTACAACCTGAAGGTGTTTTGTGCTTGCAACAAAGAAGAAAGAAACATGGGACATGGGCCAGCCGGGGTAGCAGTCCTGGGAGGTTGGGAGGCTCCAAGAACTTCGCCGTGTAACCGATAACGGTACCGGTACAAGCCAGCACTGCTGCTGGGATGAACAATGGTGACTCGAAAGAAGACCAGGTTAGCTTTACATCCTGGTCTCCTCTTGAGGCCAGGTCCTTCTAGCCCTCCTAATCAGTAGCTCTAGTAGCTAGCTCTAGCTCCCTCCTCCAGAACATAAGATGGATTGCTGCTGTGCTTTGTGGTAATCTCGGACACTTTTCCTTAGTTCTCCCTCCAAGCTTCGACGCAATGCTTCCTGATTCAACAAATGATTTCTTGAGACCACCAGTGGAAAAAAACACTGCTGATGTTGGAGGGAAGGGGGTTTACTGTTGTGGCTGGGAGACGCGCGGGGAATGCACAGGGCAATGTGAATGATGGATGATTACTTGCTTTTCTGACAAAAAGAGTAATATACCCTGGCAAAACACAAAACTGCATGAAAGACTATGCTGCTGAAGTGTTCCAGAACGTTGAATGAAGCAATTCAGTAGCAGTGAACGGCCTCTAGCTAGCTACAGCTGCTGTCCTCTTTTCTTCATTCACTCATGTCCATTCAACACATTAGTTCATCACACACCTCAGTACTGTACTGTACTCTTGTGGAGGTGAATGTCTGAGGAACGACTGAAGCTACATTTGCAACAGATCATATGCACACGATCATACTCGTATGTAAATTCTGATTCATTATTCCAAATATTCTTCTTGTGGTTTGCTAGCTAGTGCCATGTGAAAGGGGGTGCCAAGAAATTTGAATCATTCATTCAATGAGACTTCTGTTCTTCTTCTTCCGGTACAGAAGAGTTCGGGGTGTGTAATATTGATGGCTTGCAATTATCACACAGTTCGTTCTCCATTCGGCCTACTCCAGGATCGTATCCAGGCCTTCATCCTCAAAACCATCACCTAAACACTGTTCATACGTTTCCTGAAGCATCTCTTCAACAATTCCTTCACCACGTTGCTCCCATTCGCTCCGATTCTGCATTGCATACACCAGACACTCGTCACTGGATACTCCAAAAACATTGCATTCCTTTAGCTTCTTGGCCAATGGAATAATGTAATTGTCGAAAAAGCCTAGCTCGCCCTTGAACCAGAAACTTGCAGGATCGGCTCCCATTCGACCCTCCTGGTAGGCAAGCCGCATTTCGTGAAAGAGGTGCTGATTCCATTTTCTGTAGACGTGCCAGTGCTGCATAGTGTGAGACACATCCGATGCCTGGATGATGTGCTCAATGACGATTGTGGCACGCAAGTCATTGTGTTGCTCATCCTGTTGCTTCTCGTTGCTGAAAGCCCTTGCCCAGCGTCCCTTTCGGAGGTCATTGAGCTCCTTATCAAAGATATCCGTAGCTATCGGAATAAGATGCGATGAAATAAATGAGATCTCACGGACCAGGACTAGAAGCGTCATTCAGCAAGAAGACCAGCCACAACTTACCAAGCACGACGTTCACAATGACTTGTCTAAACCTCTTCATCTCGCTTTCGCTGCCACCAAAGATGCACGCTTGAAGGTCCACAAATTCATCCCGCATGAGGATGTCCCAAGCGATATCAAGACTGTTCTGTTCAGCAATTGACTTTCCCTTGTACGTGACGCCAAGGGCGGGATCCTCTTTCATCAGCTGAGTATTCGAAACACCTGTAACGATAATGAGGCACAGCACTGTTGAGTCTACTGCAGCTACAAGTCTTCCTCCACCCCTGAACTGCACAGGATTCCAACAAAAAGTACTCACCTCTATGGTCGGCGTCGTGAATCAAGGCGGAAAAGACAATTGCGAAGAGAAGTAGGGGGTCTGACGTGATACCATGCGTGTACTCGTGAAGCATAGCCGATACAGACTGTGACTGTTCCACACCCGTAGTCCTGAGATCAGGCGCAACAATGCGTTTCATGAACTTGTCCACAGCCATCGTGACGTGACACGCATGTTCGAAATTGTGAAAAGGGTTCGTCCTGTAAGTTGCGGCAATGCTTGCAACGCACCGATTAAGCTGCGCGATGACTTTCTCAGGGATCTTGACCTGGCTGATGTCTGCTTCTCCTGCGTGGCTGGCCTCGAATGTTGGCATTTCAATCACTTCTACAACCTCATCAAGAGAGGTTTCACCAGGAACACGAGTCTGCTTTGCCAAGGTAGGTGTCTTTTTGGAGGTTTGTTGCCCGATTGCCTGGTTTCTGGCCACGATGGCTTTCAAATGACCGACGAGGAGATCTGTAGCCCAGTCGATCAGTCGCGACTGTTTGGTCGTTTCCTTCAGTTCATCTTCAATAGCATAGACATTGGCTTCACTGTCGGAAACAACACTTGATCCACCACCACCTCGTCTGCGGACAGCGAGCCAATACGTCACAAGGCCAATTTTTCCTTTGGCATTTACCACGTCCTCGCGTTTGGTAAGCCAGTGTCCCTTGTTGGCCGCCATCAAGAGTTTTGCCGTTGCTTCCGACACTTGAATGGCATTGCGACGGCAAGTGCTTCGCAGATGAACAAAACCAAAGAAGTGAGTCAACGTGTCCACTGCTGGCAATGCCCCCTTTGTGATGCGCGCACTCACCTTTCAATGCAAGCCGTCGTGTTCACGGTGTCTCCAAAGAGCTGGAAACGACTACGTTCTCCCCTCAGGACTCCTACAATGCAACGCACAAAAGGGACAAAACAATGGAAGAGTGAGGCATCTGAAGTCACGGAGGAAGATTATCGTCCCAAAGATCCACAGTAGCTACTTTGGTCGTACTGAACCTGGTACTCACCGGCAGTCACAGGCCCACTGTGGATTCCAAACCGCATGGCGAGATCCGCGGTATCGGGTCCCAGAGAGACTTCGAGTTTTTTCACGAGAACGTTGAACTTATTCAAGCACTCTTGTGCAAATCGTGCCATGAGAATGGCGTGATTGTTTTGGGGCTTTGGGATTCCGGTAACAGCCACGTACGAATCCCCAATCGTCTCGACCTTGAACACTCTATTTCGAGTGGCAATTTGATCAAAGGCTTGAAAGATGGTTTGGAGCAACGTAAAGACTTGACTGGGATCACGGGTGGAACTCCAGGCGGTGAATCCGGCGATATCACAGTAGATGACAGTGCAATCCAAAAAGAGATCTGCTAGTTGGGTTCCTTCGTCATCACCATCCAAAAAGCTTTGAAGACGGACTGTCGCAGACCGGAACGCATGCTTTTGGCCACTTTTCGCAGCCTGTTTGTCCGCTTCCGCTTGCATGAGTTTTTCGGCAATGGATTCTGGAAAGAGGTTGGAGACAATGGCAGACGACTGTGTCGCGGAGCTCAAGACGACGTCTTGTCGGCGTTCCACAAGCCGATCGTAGAGTAGAAACATGGCGGCCGTAAAGACAAAGACGAGTCCGACGGCCATGGTCACAAGGATGGGGAGGTTGCTCTGATAGTTGTCTTCAAAAGTTGCGGATGGATAGACCCGAATGCCAATGGGGCATTCTTCTTGATACAATCCGAGTCCCAGGAGGGCTCGTTGGGCAGTTTCGCCCAGATCCCCCAACATTGCCGTCCTTCCATACTTGTGGTACTTTGGATCATGAAGATCTCCATTTCCCAGAAAGGTAGCATTGGGTCCATTGAGCATATAAGTGAAAGCCCCTTCACATGGGTTCTCCAGGACCACAATGACACCCTCGACACTGGGAGAAAGCATGTCCTTAAAGTAGGTTCCCCTGAGACGAACGAACGGTGATTGCGAAGTACGTGAGAGTTTGAACGCCATCAGGTAAAGCACACCTGTAGCAAACAAGACAAGCGACTGAGCTACTGAAAGTTTCTTGTTTTCTTACCAAATGATGTAGGCCGCAATAAAGGCAACGGGCTTCTCGGTGCCCCGATCTTGCTCGTAATGCTCAAAGACGGGCACAAAAATCTGCGACGTTGGATCTCCCATGTACATGGTAGGCTCGCCGGCCGCAAACGTGAGCAGCGTCGCGTAAAACGCGGCGCGTGGATCCGCGGAATCGGGGGTGGCCGGGCCGTACGTATAAATGGGCCCAATGAATAGCTTGGAGTGCTCGTATGCCGCCCTCATGCGGAATCCGTAGTCAAAGTTTCCGGGGGATGATCGAATAATGGGAGAGAATTGTGAGAGGGGAAAGTATTGGGGCCGGGGCGGACTGGGACTCATGACACCTTCGAGGGAATAGTCGTAAATCACATTGGCCACGCCCGTGGCGAATGTAATTTCATCCGTCTCATCATTGGTGAGTTCTAGCTTGGGTGCTTCTTCTTCTTCTTCTTCCTTGTCTTCCTCGAGAAGTCTCTTGCTGCCATCTTTATCGAGTCCGAGTCCCAAAGCTTGCTGATAGACCAGACCTTCTTGCATCCAGTAGGTATTGTTGTTGGAATACTCTTCCCAAGCGATACGTTTGTCTTGATCAATCACCGGGAGCAACTGAATCATGAGTGCATCGGAGAGTGACCGGGCCGTGGCCGATCGTTGATGAAAGTCATTGATCGTGACAAACGGCCATGCTACCTCCATGTCTCCACTTTGCTGTTGAGAGCGCACATATGCCGTAAAGGAAACCGACAAGGACGCCAAGGCACTGAACTTTTGCACCACAATGTCCTGAAACGAGTCAATGACTTTTTGCGCCGTGCTGTCGAACTGCGCTTCAAACTCGGCGTGCTCGGCGGCGGCCGTGAGAAAGTAAACGGTGAGAGACACACCAAGGGCTGCCAGAAAGAGAATCAAAAAGACCACGAGACGTTGCTTGAAGACCGCAGCGCTTTCGTCGCCTCCAATCTCATGCTTGTTATCACTAGGATCTTCGGTAGAAGTTTCAGTGGCACCGGTCGTGGCATCCAGGTCGTCCGACACGAGAGATGCAAGAGAGTCATCGTCATTGTCTTTGTCATTGTCGTCTACCTTCTTATTGGGTTTCACGTACGAATCCACATCGACCTCATTCACAATGTCGTCGTCCTCGAAACCTGTGTGTGTGTTCGCCATGGTGGTGCTGAAATATATAGTTGGGTTTGGTATTAGCTGGCTACCGGTAGGAGAAATAATGTGAGAGAATGTTTCTTTGTGATTATTTGTGTCTCTGCTCTTCAATCTGTGCACTGCACCCAAAAATCTTTCTGCGCGATTGAGCACAAAGACTTATGACTGCGAAAATCGTATGACTGACTGAGTTGCCCGACCTGATGCCTGCATGGACATTGAGAATTATTGAATTAATGTGCATTCGCATTCGCATTGTTGTATGGTAATGAAGTGTACGGCTGTAGGATTCTCATTCCTGCGCTAATATTTAAAGACTTAGACGGTAGAAGTAGACGAGTCATACAAAGGAAACATCTTACTTAAAAGACGAAGATTGTGTTCAAGCAATGACGAACCGGTAGGACTGGTCATTGATGACCATAAGATCACAGTGTTCAGCATTGTCGTAATGATGACCCTGGTGTACTTTACCGATTACAGTAGTTTTGTCTTTTAAATCCAAGTCATAAAAACAAGGATCAGATCTTTAAGACTCCAGTTGCATTTTCTGAAGCAGGCCATTCGATTCCATTCCATGTGACTCGATTCAGAAGGCTTCAAGAATTTTTGCATTTATTTATAGTGGTACCGGTACTGATAACATCAAGAAATTTCAAGAAACTGGCCAGCTGCTGCCAGCCTTTGCTCAGGTTTGTTCTTAACCACAGAATTTACGGTACGTACGTACGTACGCGAAATAGAAAGAATTCGAAATAACTGCCGAATTCGGAAAGGTGACCTCCAAATCCACAGATACGGCGAACCGCAGGAAATGTTTATAGTAAAAAAGTGGAGCTGCGGTTCGCAGGATGAATGGATTTGGAATTCGCGTAGGGCCAATCATAACGCTCGAAACTCCCACAGCAAATCCCCAACTCTATCGAGTTTCGAAAATCGAAAAGTGAGATCTCGAGATCTCATTCATTCAGCACATCCTCTTCTCATCAAATCATTGAAAAGTGAGAAGAAGTACATATAGTAGTAGCCATTCGGTACATGTATAGTAGTAGCCATTCGGCAGCATTGTAGCCACGCTGTTGTCATTGTCGTCATGGACGATGAATACGAACAAGATGTCGCACTGCTTTTGCAGCTCTTTATTCTAACGGTGGGCCTTCTACTGTGTCTACCCGGCGAACCTCGGAACCCTTCCTTTTTCGAACAAAGGTTGGCTTGGCAGCGCTACTG